AATATTACATTGTATGGTCCCCAAAGAGCTCTTCTGAATAGAGGCAGACAATTCATTTCCAGTATCTTGTGCGCAGAAATACCCATGACATTGACACAGATGGCACAGCTCGAATTCAGAATTTTGTATCAACACACTGAGCAATTGGATCAGGGGAGCATCGCACAGAAAGGTTCATCGATCACACAATAGGAAACATTTATCCCAGTAGATTATCTTGTTCTTGAAGCCGCGATCTCCATTAGCTTCCGGGTATATTTGGATTCGGAATCAGTTCCCAGGAACATCAGCTCCCGACTTACTAACATCCGAACATGAAGCCATTTACCTAAGGGGTCCAAAGCAACTTAAGACATTGGCAGTTGGAGGTCAGCTTCAAATATATGTGACACGTTTGTCAGTAAAAGCGCGGGCACAAAGGTTTAATTTAATTTATTCGTGTTTCTATCGACACGTCAAGGCTAAGCTTGCAGATGCAACGAGGAGTACAGTGATGGAGCATGTTGTTTAACTGAAGCTATATGTGGCACTATAAGTGTCATTATTGTGCAAGACAGCTCTTTAAAACACACTACAGAGTCATATATCTAATAGAAAAAAACAATATGGTTGTAGACCAGCATTCACTACCCGTACCCCACCCCTCACCCGAATGGCAGATGGCTGGTTCCCTACCCCATTATATCACTTTCTCTATCGGATCGAACACGGCTTATGTACAAAAAGGAATCTGCCCCACAGACCATTGAAGTATCCCACAACTAAACCACAGACAGATTCAAGGTCTCAGCACGAAAAAGAGTGAAAACAGAAATTCAATTTCTGCCACGGATGCTTTACTCACTGCCGTAATTCGCTTGCACAATCTACCAATGGGAGATCAAGTAATCAAATAAAGATGACTGTTTATACTCTACACGTGGAACCTTACCATTCGCCTTGTCTGCCAGGCGTTGTCAGCTTCACGAAGGGAAGACAGAGTGCTGATGCACATTGGAAACACACTGGAGTTTAGCAACACATTACTTACTCAATGCTGTTATTATGACTTTCAAATACCTTTTTTCACTAATACATCTATATTCATCTGCTTTGTTCCCTTGAAGTACTGGTAGTTTGTTTTTCAATACTCTATTTGAACTCATGAGCTGAATATTTTACATCTGGTTAAAGTTCAATCCTCGAATCATTTCAAATCATTACAGTACAACATGCATTAGAGCAAAGATCGGATCTCTACAACAATGTCTCAGCATAACCACTAATGATACACACAAACAGTATACAAATCAGATACCTTTAAAGAGATATAGTCACGTATATGGTCAGGTATTTAACACCCTAAGTATAAATGCCACTGACGCCATACCGGTCATTTTATGCACTCCACATAAACAATAAAACCTCAAATACATAATGAGCGTACATGCTTGACAACGATGAGCAGGGGTTGGCGGAGTTCCATTTCATCATCCCAGCAGTACATCCTGCTCGACTGAGCACAAACAGTCGGTGTACCAGTTACTTGAATGTCTTTTTGGAGTGAAACACTTTATAATTTGGGATGTTTTACACGAAGATATAAATATCACATTTCCTGATCTAACGGATTCTCTACGAACTGTTTAGGACATCAAAACAAGGGGTTATCATCTGTACTCTGAAATATTTATATTAAAACTCTCGCTCCTGAACACATTAGCTTCAGCGGGAGTGATTAGAATCCTGTAAAAATTACATGGATCTTCATGTTCTGTTAAGATGAATTTTCACTTTGGCAGATACCAAAGAGTGAAGAAATAGAACGAGCAAACAGCAGCATGATAACCAGATGTCTGATCCGGAATGATATTCTGTTCACAGTCGCGTCCCAAAACAAAACGTCCCAATGTGACGTCCATAATGAGGTGCTTGTCATCAGACTCGTGAAGATCCGGGTTAGAATTGGTCTTCAGTAACCCATCTTTGTCGTAAGAGGCGAATAACAGGATCGCTGGTCAGATTCGCTGACTTGGTTAACACATATCATCGTATCACATTTGCGTAGAACGATGCTCATGATGTTGATCACTGGATCATCTGGTCCAATCTCGATTATTTACAGACCATCGCAATATAGCTGGAGTCCGACATTAAAAACATCCAAACCAATGCTAATGCTAGTCAGCGACGTCCTGATGACGTCAGGAATCAGTGAGTGAATTAGTGAATATGGTTTTATGCCGCTGTTAGCAATATTCCAGCAATTGCACGGCGGGGGACTCCAGAAATAGCCTTCACACATTGTAGCCCAGTGGGGAAGCGAACCCTGGTCTAAGGTGTGACGAGCGGACGCTTTAACCATTAGGCTACCCCACCGCCCCTGGAAGCAGTGATTCGTTCATGGATCCTAAGGACTTAGAGCACCATGTAATGGACGAGAGTGTAATTTAAGACACACGTTCCTATTCTGACACTGCCTGCTATATTTAAAGAAACATCAGCTTCTATATTAGATTAGATGCGTTAAAAGACAATTTGTTGAGACTGAAGTAGTTTCTTTTAGGAGAAGAAGCTTAAACAGTTTTTTTTCCATTTGAGCGAGAAAAGGGTGAAAAGGAAATCGTTTGTTCATTTGAAATGTATGTTGTAGGCGAAAGGGAAGTGCTTCGTCCATGACTATCTTGAAGGTACATATTTATTTGATGGAGTTGAACGTGCATAGTTTTAACACAGGCAGCATTTGTAACTGATAACATTCGGCATTGTTAAAGACAATGGCGTCACAAAACCACGGATGAAGTTTCTCTGGTGTCTCGGACATGAATCCTATGTAGTGTGAATGTCTACGTCATCACCCAAGGCTATGTTGTCTCTTGCAACAGAACAGTCAAATGTGTTATACATCAGACATCATTTTGTTTCATCGTGGCAGCTAACAGATATATCTTATTCAGTCACCTGAATAGGTTAAGTACAGAGAGTGCAAATATTTTATTCTTCAGGCTACGGGAGACGTTCTTTGACAAGTGGTCAAATTTCTTATAAATTTAACCTTAACTTAAGCCGTATCTGATTGCTAAAACATCACAGTTCTCACAACAGACTGCTGGGAAATCGAATATCACAACAATATCAAGAAGCAAATGAAACTGAGAACAAATTACCCATTATAAAGAATTTGACAATGCAAGCTTGTAGAAATTATTTCAAGTCTTTATGTTAGTCTATATTCTGTCTGTGAGATTGAATATATTTCTTCAGACTGTTGATGTAGATCGAAATTGCTTGCAACAAAAAAGGATATAGTTAGATGATTGTTTCTAAAAGATAAAGTTGGAATCTGTATTCAATTTGAAACACATCTGGATTGAAGCTGAAAATATTACGATTTTTATATTTTAAAAAATTCTATTTCTGGGATGATTGCTACAATATCTGTGAATTTGAAGGTCTCACAAAACAAGTTGGGAACTGCACTAATCTGGAGTTTTTTAATCGGACAAAAAGTAAATGCTCGTCAAACATAATTCTATACCAGACTCTTGAAAACAATAAAACCGACTGCTACAAAAAGGTCCCTGCTGGCCATCCATGTGTTCATCTCCCGAATAGCAGAAAACGTATGTACAGAGAGGAACATACTTCTCCGACACCCTGGACGCGTTCTGTGGACCACAGGCAATAGAAAGCAGTCAGCATCCGCAACAAGTCGACTTGCAGTACACGCCTCCTGAAACCGTAGATATATCCACAGTCCCAAATGAACAAGAACAAAAACCAAAGTTCAATTACTGTCACGTATGCTTTAAACACTGTGGTAACAGACTTCCAAAACCTACCGCTGGGAGATCAAGTAATCCAATCAGTCGTAACACCATTTTCAAAACCTCCAAATGTATTCCCTGATGTACAGTTGTGTAACTCAAAACGACATTTCCATCAGTTTCATTATGAACTGTAGACCGACCAGATATCAAATATAGGAACAGAAAAAGAAGGTGACTGTTGATATTACATTAGTGGAACCTTATCGTTCAGTTCGTGTTTACAGGCGTTGTCAGAAACGGACGACAGACGACAGATTGCCGATGCCTGAGACCAGAGCTTAAAAACACATTACCTACTCAGTGGTGTAAGTAAGCTTTTCAAATACCTTCTTTCACTAATCCGCTTGTATTCTGTCTGTTTTTTTGCCTGTGAAATACCGGTAGTGCGAGTTTAGATACTTCTGTTGGACATATACGCTGCAACACTTTTTTCTGAATATTAATGTGAACCCGGGTCTCCAGCGTGTCAAGCGGACGCTTAAACCACTAGGCTCCCCTACCGCCCCTAAATAAAAGGGATCAGTTGTAGAGCTGATAAAACTACACCCAGACTGTTGAAGGTTGTCAGATAAATTGTGCTTAAATTCCCAACACACTATTGTGAGACCTTTGATGTTATAGCAATCGGCTAAACCTTTTGTACTGAAGTTTTAGAAAACAGAGAAACATAGTTTCAAAGGCCATCTCCTCCCAAAGTGTGAAAAAGGGAGAATTTCCACTCTCTGCACTTAACCTTTTTGTCAGGTGAATAAAGCATACGTGTTATTTTCCAAGATGAAACAAATATTATGTATGTTTTACAAGAGAGGAAAAAAAGCGTACAGCGTGGAGCAATGGAGTAGACAGACATACATATAACATTCATATTCATCGAGGCCAGAAAGACACTTCATCAGTGGTTTTGTGACGTCATTGACTTCAAGGATCTCATTGCCTTCAATGATACCGACAATTATCAGTTACAAACGCTGTCTGTGTTAAAACTACTCACTTTAAGGTCGATCAAAAAGAATGGAAGGAAAGATTTCCCTTTAAGTTCCAGCTGACGTCATGGATATGATGAAATGTCAGTCAGCTAGCTTGACCACCCGATACCATTAGTCGCCTCTTTTGACAAGCATGGGTTGCTGAAGACTAGTTCCAACCCGGATCTTCACTGGTAAATCCCATATCAAGCTGACAGAATGTGATAATAATGAAATACTGTGTACTCCTCTCACCTGGCTATCATGATGCCCCCCACAGCTGTGGTATCCAAGTACTGGTAGTATTCTTCATAGGACAAGACATCTCCATTCCCTACAACACAATCATTAGAATAACACTGAGTGCGCAGAAATATGCTACAGATTGGATTGGGTGGACAGGCTCAGTGACTTGCATGTCCTAATCGATTGTATCCAATTTTGTATGTACTGATGCTAAACATCAATGATAATGATGCAGACCACAGATATATATCATATATATATATATTTTCAATTTCAATTTCTTGTTATGATGGAGAGATTTCCCTATATGGCTGTTTAAGGTCTGCTGCATGTAGGGTGTGACAGGGCCATTAGTGAGTACTATTTTAGTGAGTGAGTTTTAGGCTACTTTTAGCAATATTCCAGCAGTATCACCGTGGGGGATGCTAGAAATGGGCTTCACACATTGTACCCATGTGGCAAATTCAACCCTGGTCTTCGGCGTGATGAGCTAACGCTAACTACTAGGCTAATTACCACCCCACATGGTCAGTAAGTTCCTATCACTGGCATGTTTGGGTATGAGCAGTCGTATTTTATGTCATCATGCCAAAACAGTTACATTGTTGCTCGTGTTATCCACCACTAGCTGATTATTCCCAGGTCACTGTGACCCAGCGGTAACATCATCCACACAATACTCACCAAACACGGGCATCGGTGCTGCCAGTTGGGCACAGCGGTTGATGTAGTCCCAGTCTGCTAGACGGGTGTAGCGCTGTTCCCGTGATCGACCATGGAGCTAGATAAGGAATAGAGTTGTTTCCATCAAATATCAGCCAATGTACATACAACATTACAATAATGCTTATTGCGAGAAACATTTATCAGACATGATAAAAATCAGCATGTTTACTTTGAAAAGTGGTGTGATTGGTGAATATTTTATGAGTGTTTCAATAACAATACGGTCTATTTCAGCCACTTTTGTTTGAAAATAACACCTATAGCATAGTTGTGATCTTCAATAAAGGTCTCAGTTTGATAGACTTTAATAGTTTCTTGTAAGCAATTAAATATTAATGGGCTTTTTGTTGAACTCATTGAACATGAAGAGTGAGTGAGAGAGTTTAGTTTTACGCCGCTTTTAGCCATATTCCAGCAATGTCACGGCAGGGGACACCAGAAATAGGCTTCATACATTGTACCCATGTGGGGAATCAAACCCGGGTCTTCGGCGTGATGAGCAAACGCTTTAACCACTAGGCTACCCAACCAACCCGAACATGAAGAAGGTAAGACATTTGTCAGCTATAAAATATGTGGACGAAAGCTAATTCTTTGCTTGCTTGGAACTGACAGGTAACTTATGTCTTTTAATACATGAGTTTAATCCTAGAACCTATGAGATAGCATGTCACTTCCAGGATAGGAAAACATTGGCAAAGGCAGTATTGCTTCAAACAATGTGTCTTGAAGTTTGTTTATAGTTTAAGTTGTACTCAGCAATACTGAAGCTATTTGACAGCGGTCTGTAACCAGACTGGACCAGACAATCCAGTGATTGGCATAATGAGTATGATCTACACACTTGGAATTCAATGAAAGGCATCAACTATGTCAACGAGTCTGACCTCATGATCCCACGATTTGTCGCTTTCATCACCTTTCACAACAAGCTGGGCTTTGCTGAAGACAAATTCTAACCTGATATTCATGCGTTGTCTCTTGGTAATAAGTTGACTTACTTAAAGTTAAATTCATTTCAACTACATCAAGGTCGTACAAAAAAAGAATTAATCATTGAGACTATTTAAATTATCAACTTATGATATGTTGTTAAAGGACTATTAAAAGAGAAGAGTTACTTACCGTGACTTCAGACACACCCCAGTCTCGTAGTTTAGGAATAAGGTTGTGTGCGATGTCCTTGTCTGACGAGATGCCAGTCCGCATCTTGAGGGTGAGGGGAACGTCCAGCACCGAGGTCATGCTCTTCACTATCTGCTCCAGCTTGTTAGGCTTGGACATCAACGCTGCACCTTCTCCCTGGACAACAGTGATGATTGCAGTGAGGGTGGGTGGGTGGTAAGTCGGGGTGAGTGAGAGTGATGGGTGGGGGAGTCAGGATGGGGGGGTCAAAGTCAAAGTGGGTGAGTGATGGGTAGTGGGGTGAGTCAGGATGGGGATGAGCCGATGGGTGGATGGTTGGGTCGGGGGGGTGAGTCGAGGTGGGTGAGCGATGGGTGGATGGTGAGTCAAGGAGGGTGAGAGATAGGGGTGGATAGTTTGGGTTGAGTGAGTGTTGGCAGTGGTGACTGAGTGATGGGTGGGTGGGTAGTCAGGGTGGGTGGGTAAAGTGATGGTGAGTGGGTAGGGTGGGTGGAGTCAGGGTGGAAGGTGAGTGATAAGCGGGTGGGTAGTCAAGGTTGATGAGTGAGTGATGGGTGGGTAGGTAGTCAGGGTGGATGGGTGAGGATAGGTAGGGTGGGTAGTCAGGGTGGATGAGTGAGTGATGGATGGGTGGGTAATCAGGGTAGGTGAGTGAGTGATGGGTGGGTTGGTGATGGGTGGGTGGGTGAGTGGTGGGTGGAATGATGGGTGGATGAGTGAGTGATGGATGGGTGAGTAAGTGATGGGTGATTGGGGAAGTGAGTGAAGGCTGAGTCAGGGTGGTGGGTGAGTGATGGGTGGGTGGGTGATGGGTGAATGAGTGATGGGTTTGAGAGTCAGGATGGGGGTCAAAGTGGGTGGAGTGGTGTGAGTGGGTGGGTGAGTGAGGGATGGGTAGGGAGTGGCCGGGTGGCGTGGATGATGGTGAGTCAAGGAGGGTGAGGAAAGGTGGTGGATGGGTGAGTGTTGGCAGTGTGGACTGAGTGATGGGTGGGTGGGTAGTCAGGGTGGATGAGTGAGTGATGGGTGGGTAGTCAGGGTGGGTGGGTAAGTGATGGTGGGTGGAGTCAGGTGGGGTGATTCCGGGTGAGTAGTCAAGAGGATGAGTGAGTGATGGGTGGTGGGGTGGAGGTAGTGGGTGGATGGGTAAGTGACTGACTGACTGATTTTGGTTTCGTAGCAATATTCCAGCAACATCACGGGCGGGGACACCCCAGAAATGGGCTTCACACAGTGAGTGATGGGTGGGTCTTAGGTGACGATCCAGGGTGGGTGGAGTACCTCCCTCTATGATGGATGGGTGGGTAGTCAGGGTGGAAGGAAGGTGAGTGATAGGCAGGTGGGTAGTCAGGGTGGATGAGTGAGTGATGGGTGGGTGGGTAATCAGGGTAGGTGAGTGAGTGATAGGTGGGTCGGTGGGTGAGTGATGGGTGGGTGGGTGAGTGGTGTGCGGGTAGGTGATGGGTGGGTGAATGATGGGTGGATGAGTGAGTGATGGATGGGTGAGTAAGTGATGGGTGATTGGGGAAGTGAGTGAAGGGTGAGTCAGGTGGGTGAGTGATAGGGTGGGTGGGTGAGTGGTGATGGGTGAATGAGTGATGGGTGGGTGAGTGATGGGTGGGTGGGTGATGTGAATGGGTGATGGGTGAATGTGAATGAGTGAGTGGGTGTAGAGAGTGAGTGAAAAGGGTAAGTCGGGGTGGGTGAGTGATTGGTGGGTGGGTAGGTGATGGGTGGGTGAGTAAGTGATGGGTGATTGGGGAAGTGAGTGAAGGGTGAGTCGGGTTGGGTGAGTGATGGGTAGGTGAGTGAGTGAAGGGTGGGTGAGTGGTGGGTAGTGGCGGTGGGTGAATGAGTGATATGTGAGTGAGTGAAGGGTAAGTGGGTGAGTCGAGGTGGGTGAGTCGAGGTGGGTGAGGTGGGTGAGTGAGTGATGGGTGAGATGAGTTGAGATTGGTGAGTGAGTGAGTGATGTTGATGTCAATATAAACAAGACACTGTTTCTTTATTCTTCACAGCTTCACAAACATGCACACAGCAACTTGTCTCTTCCCATTGACACCCAAGATAAAGACACTTACTCTTTTATACACCATATCAATGGGGCAGCCACAGTTGATGTCCACAAAGTCAATGGTGGTGACCTCGGTCAGCAGCTGGGCACAGCGGGTCATGGTGTCGGGGTAGGAACCACACACCTACAACAACATGAGAAGCTGTCACAGGAATGCAGGTTAAGCTGCTCCTCGAAACAATCCGTTAGTGTACCATCATCTCCAACTTGATGATAAAATTCTTGGAACTTAAAAATCAAAATAAGTTACCATGGTGAGGGACCACATGATTCTATATGAGAGAGAATCTCACCTGCTTTGAGTGGTATATTTCAAAAATATTCTAAGAATTAATTGGTCATGGCAGGACAGATGAACTCTAATAATATCAAAAACATTGGGTGGTGGGCGAGCTGTCCAAGGCGCCAGGCTGGTGATCCAGCGAGCATGAGGTGCCGGGATCAAGCCCACCTTTGACTGGGTGTAAAAACCTTGGAGTCAACTTTGTGTGCAGACTCTTTCAGTGTTGTCACAACCCCTAGTGTACAGTACACAACCCTGTGCACTTAAAAGAACCACACAAATCCATCGGTAAATGGCCACATGGTGGACACATGAATATGTGCAAACACCTAGTTGCAGGTACAGCAACGTGCAATAAAACATGGATAAAGTACTGTGACTATGTGTCCCAGTACCTCGCAAGGATGGGAAAGCCACATTAACTCGGTGCACCTAGTGGCTGCAAGAGTTGTATGATCCCCAGGAAGTTGAGAATCATTAATAATACGATGTGCCATTTCAGTTTGACATCCAATGATTGAGGAAAAATCAAAGCGCCTTTGAGCAGCAGCTGAGCTGGATATTTGCGCTATACAAATGTTAGTATAATAATAATAATTTTAAGAATATCATAAGAATTAATCAGTCATGGCAGGACAAATAGACTCTTGTAATAAAAACTATTGAGTGATCATAAGCTTAGTTTATTCTGTTCATACCCTTCTTTACAAAAGTGTATTAGCTCTTGTGTATTGCACATCAAATTGTTATCAACTGCAAACTGATCTAATCAAATGTAACACATGTTATATTTGGGATTACATTTCCTTAGTAAAGTACAGATTCCTGTACTTTTGTTGTTGAGCTGAGTCCCATCCAGGATTCAAATCATAATCTAATAAAGTTCATATATAAGTTGTGAGTGAGATATTTCATGCTTGATTGGCATTTTAGAAGATGATATTTGATGAACACAGAGATTTTTTCTGGGTTACATCTTCTTTTTATTCTCGAGTACAACATTTCAGGGCTTGTTCTGGCCCAATCATGAGGTAAAACTGAACAGTAACTGTTAACTCTGGCCGTGACGTCACAATGCTTATGACGTCACAATGCTATGACGACGCAATACATGTGGTGGTCAATACATACAGATGACATGGCTAATAGAATACATGTTATTATGAATATATAAGATGTCGTTTACTGCAAAATTAATGGATCAATTTAGAACTGTGCAGATACTTATACAAAATTGTTGATTGATTTAGAAGTGTACAGAGACGTATTTATAAATGTATAGATATTTCAGCTGTAGCCTGTCAGCCAGTAAATTATCAAATCTGAATAAGGAAAAGGTGTGACATCAAACTTGCCATGCCTAGCCACCTGATCACAGCCACGTCACACATTCTTACACAGAAACCATTGAACAAGTGGGCTGGTGAGTCAACAAATGTGTGCTTTGGGCCTTGTTACTGCCTGGTCTAAGTGCACTGCTCTGACACTGTGAAGGAAAGTGTTCCCTATGACTGAACTTTGGAACTGTAAACAGATGTATTGAAATGTATTTCCTGGTCATATCTGACAGAAGTTAGTTCATACCATAGGTTCAGGTCCATGGAAATAATGTTAATCCTATTTATACACAAATTTCAGATTGAATGAATTCCAGGGTCACATGAAACCATTCTGACTTGATAACGGACTAGTAGTGATTTACAGAGCAAGGTTATGCACAGGTCAAGGGCTCTTGCCATGAATATTTTCCTGATGATTTAAGATAATGGACATACACATTTACACCATATTTATCAAAAGATGCCTTCATTATCCTTGGTTGTTTTCTGAAACTTCGCATTTGTAAAATACTATACTGAGGCAAACAAATAAGGGAACACCACTTCACGGCAGCATTCCTAAACACATAAAAATTGACAATGGATGCAAGGAAATTTGATAGCGCGTCCACAGGGACGCAGAAAACGTCCAAATACTTTTTGCAAAATTTCAATCAAGTATCAATAAGTTATCACACAGTTTGCTACGAGCTGGGTTATGGTATCATTTGCAATTTGATAACTGTAATAATGTGATGATCATGATACACAATACAATAACAGTAACTGAATTACAACATAGAATCAATAATAATATTTAAGTGTCTGGGACCCCCATTTTGTAGTCCAGGACCCCTGAAAAGTAAGAGTATGAGTCCCAGGACCCTCAAATACAAGACTCAAGGAAAATCCCTGCCCTGAACTACCTCACTGCCTGTTCTCCCTAAAAGTGAGTGAGTGAGTTTAGTTTTTACGTCGCACTCAGCAATATTCCAGCTATATGGCGGCAGTCTGCAAATAATCGAGTCTGGACCATACAATCCAGTGATCAACAGCTGAGTTCTCCCCAAGAAGGAACTCCAAAACTACTGACCTGAACACCAAACAGATCTTCGGACCGATGTCGTTTGAGTAGCGCCCACTCAGACTGGTTGGCTTGGAGCAGCTTGGTTGCCACGGCCATCTCACTACAGGTGACGTCCGCACCAAAACCCTTGCATACACGTCGGAATGGCAGGTTACCCACCTGGAGCACACATACACAAGCCTACATTATCCATATACTCTGGCTGAATGATAATAATAAATATTAGAGTCTGGACCAGACAGTCCAGTGATTGACAGCATGAGCATCGATCTAAGCAATTAGGATATGATGACATGTCAGTGATCTGACCTCTCAATCCTGTTAGTCGCCTCTTACAGCAATCATGGGTTTGTGAAGTATGTTTCACATGAATACAAGGCTGACAAATCAATAAACAGCTAACTGTCTCATAATACAACAGCTTCTACCATGCAGCAACAAGACATCAGAAACACTTGTCAGATTTCATGGTTAACAGCTTTTAGCTTGGCATACCTTAAAAGTTAAAATAGTGAGTGGGTGAGTATGGTTTTACGCTGCTTTTAGAAATATTCCAGCAATATCACGGCAGGGGACACCAGAAATGGGCTTCACACATTGTACCCATGTGGGGAATCGAACCCGGGTCTTCAGCGTGACGAGCAAACAGCTTTAACCACTAGGCTACCCCACAGGTCCAACCTTAAAATAAATATGAGACTGAGCATTTCAAGAAGTCCACATGAACTTTCATTATTTTAGTATGCTTTATATCAATTCATGTACTAAGGGAATATGGATCAAGAGAAAAGTCTCTATGAAAGCAATTAAATTCTGTACAAGCAAAAGTAATAAAACACCTAAGTTTTGTACTTACAGTAGTCAGTGGTGCCAGATACAGCTTGCCTGTCAGGTCTAACTGTCAACAAAACACACATCAATAAGTTTGTTTTGCACTCAGCAATACTCTGGATGGACAAAAGGCTGTTAATAATAAGCCTGGATCAGACAAGCTAATGATTAACAGCATGAGCATTGATCTTTGTAATCAGGATTAGATAACCTTCAACAAGTCAGCAAGGTTGGTCACCAGTTCTGTTTGCCTCTTACGACAACATGAGTTGCCGAAGACCAATTCTGACCATGTTTCCCTGGACATCAACACAGTGGCAAAAACGCTTATGTAACAGTACTTATTTGTGTACATGTATTTCATCTTTTGCTCAGAGGATGAATACTGTGGATGTATAAGTGAATGCTGTGTTACGCCAGAATGCAATATTCCAGACATGTCACCAGTGACCATGACACCTGAATTCAGTAGGCTAGCAATACCAGTGGCTGAAAGCATGAGCTTGTGTCTTACTCTCAGACAAACCCCTTTCCCCAAACAAACCGAGGTTTGAGATTTCCTCAAACATTGACAAAATCTTAGCAAACTTAACAGTGAGTGAGTGAATTTACTTTTACGCCACACTCAGCAATATTCCAGCTATACGACAGCCTTCGAAGACTTAGAAACTCAGCTAGTTCAAATCTTGAACATGATATGTTTAAAGTAATTTGGACCAAGTAACAATTGTAACCATGGTAACAACTAAATTCATCAATCAGCAATTGTCACATTCATTTTTTATTATTGTTTACCTGAACAGTGATGAAACATTAAGCCATGATCTCATTAACCATATTTAATTTTGATGGAACACACTTCCATATCAACAACAGTGAGTTTCGTTTTACGCCGCACTCAGTAATAGTTGAGCTATAGCAGCGGTCTGGTCTGCAAATAAACTAATCTGGCCAAGACAATCCAGTGACTGACAGCATGAGCATTGATCTACGCAATAGACCGATCCAGTCTCGGCCGATAAGCCCCGCCCACTTCGTTTTTGACGTTAGCGGGGACAACCACTGGCAAATCACAATGACGTCACCACGCGGCGAAACGTTACGGATTGCGAACGCTTGTTGATGAATTCTGCTTGTGATACTTTGGTATCCGTCTTTTGTGAATGTTATTTAAAGAGGCAAGTTATACGTATGTGATTTTTAATATATTTTAGCTGGCAGATTACAACTGGCGAAAGTGAAAATGAGTTACATGCCCGCTGAAAAAGCTGCCTCGACTAGCTGCTGAGACTGTAGGAAGCGTAATTTCTTTCGACTCAATTAATCTATCTGGCAATTCACCTCCGTCCACAGATATTAGCAGGGAAAGGATAACTGAATTTTGTTGTTTGGGTTTATAATTTTTAAAACTCCGCGTGAACACAACCACATGGTCATGTTGCACATCGCCCGGTATCTATAAATAGATTATCAACACTGCGCTGCGGGCTTCTTTACTTATCCGTTTATGTTGTTCAAATTTAGTTCAATAATCTGAAAACATGGGTTTCAATCTTTTAATGAATTAAGAGAATGGTAAATAAAAGCAGAAAATATTTCCGCCTACTACTTCATGCACCTTATTTGTCTGTACAATTAATGTTAACAAATCAATCACAGCATAACCTATTTGATCTTATTTGGAAATCTGGAAAGGTAATTGGGCTTGTAAACAATATGTTTCCATGGACGATCTGGACATACCCAGAAGCAAATATTCAACAGCTGATCTGCAGCAACTCTCAGTGGAGTTTCTCTCTGTACACCATGATAAAATGACACTGAATATAAGGAAATCATTTTTTAATCATCATTTCCATTTAATTTTTCTATATGTACTTTGTTGTGGAATTCTAATTTACATACAAACTTCCACAATACTGGACTTCATGAACTGCCAGCGCTTATGTACAGGTATGTCACAGCACCAGAACACAAAGAAGATCCAAGATACAGTTTGCACCTGTACACTAGCTGACCCATCTTCCAGAAATAGGAAACATGTGATGCAAAATTTTTGGAACAGAGAATCCACAGTTATTCTAACAATTAACTAGCATTGAAATAGAATGTTACACAAAATACAAATGTAGATCTATTGTTTTTCATCAGAGATGTTTAACTGCTAACTACTAGTGTAAATAAGGTGCAAAGAATATATCCTATGTTCAAAGCCTTCTGTCAATACAATTATTGCTTCTTAATTAAACAATGATAATCTTTGTTTTATTAGATCTGAGACCATATCCCTAGAGGACATAACACTGATTTTGATCTATTTCCTTTTCTGAGATACTTACTGGTGTCATAAAAATTATAGTAAAGTTGATTCAAAATTTGGTAAAAGTCATAACAAAGGTTTAGGAAAACAGACATGAAAATGTCCTGAAGCGCTTCACCTCCTACAAACCTGTGTGCAATTTAATATGAAGCTCATTTTGCAAATAACCATCAACAAACCTTGAACAATTTGTCCAAATCCACCATCTTAATAAACACTAGCTTTGGCTCAGTCTTCAAATAGTAGTAACCTCCTAAAAACTTATGATTTATCAGAAGAATTACATCAAATATGGGTTTAATATATGTTTCAATCTTTATTCCATTACATGAAAAGTCACCTGAGATTTTTGAAAGTTATTCTGTTCCAGGACTAGATAATGCCTGTCCAGGGTTTGACCAAAATGTAGCCTTTGCTTTTTCAAATATTCTGGATGTTGAAATAACTTTAATGAGTTATGATACTAGCAATCACTTTCAGAATTATCTTATTAGTAAATGTAGTATTTAAAAAACCCATCTAAAAGCAGGAGCCAAGAAACTAAGTTAATACCAAGTGATTGTCCTGCCTTGATATGTATGGTGTTTGTTTGCCTAGTTCTGCCTTTAAAATCTAAAATCTGATATGTCAATCAATTAAATAATTATTTATTATTGATTAGATTATTATTAATTTTATTTCCTTCCACGCTTACTAAAAAAAGCAAGATTCTGAAAACATGTGTACCTTGATATCATTTCCAGTGAATTAATCAAAATTACAGTTGTAATATTACTCCTAAAATGTACCATTATATGTGAATAATTTATGTGGTAACAAAACTTCAAATAATGTTCTCATAATTAAGATATACACTTTATTTCACTCTGTCCAATACTCCAGAAAGTCACTATTCTTCTCACATAGTTTTCGTATTCGATCAACCTGGAGGATGGTAATTCAGGTCAAAGTCCCATGCAATTCTTTATAAAAAATCTGAAATATTTAAAGCATGGTTTTATAGGCACTCATATGAACTAATTTTGATACTTGGATATTGCATGATAGGCAACTGCTGACACTGACAATATTTCCGTTTGAATAAAAAAATATTACTCATCGAATATTTTGCTCTGTTAACAAGATACTGTAGGCCTTCAGATTGTGCTTCTGAAACTTAAAACATCCTAAAAATGTGTGACAAATTGAAGAATATCTAAGAGCTGAAGGGGACAATATCCGCCACATTGTTCTTTCATGTAACATATTTTGCTATTTCGTTGAACCTTACCGAAATGAAAATTTGTTTACATTGTGTCACGGCTTTCTAGCCTGTCTCTTTTGAGCTTTGTGGCGTACCAACTCAATGCCTAGTAGTGACTAAAAACGTGAAGCAAAACAATTTTGTAGTTACAAGAATTGTCCGTGTTTATAACACTTGCAAAGTCTTCAACTGCTATTTGTTGTCATCAATTGGTAATGATTTTGCACATGTGCAAAAGTGTGCAAATTGCGTGCAAATTCTCATCAGCAGGCAGACGAGGGTTTTCCTGAACGATGGTGCAGACATTTAACTGATCGTCAGGCCTATCGCGTTTCTTGATCCGCCTCCATTTTTGTTGTCTTGACCGTAATGGTTTTGTTAAGGTACACATCAAATCGCAGCAATATGTAATAAATATAGCGAGTGTAAATGGCATAATTCGAAGCACATCGCCTCGGATGCATCGTTTGACCCCGGAAATAAGTCTGACAAATCCACACAACGCGCCCGGCCTGCTGATTGGCCAAAATTGACGCATGCGCCAGTTTTGATTGACAGACTGGATCGGTCTATTGGGACATGTGTCGACGAGTCAGCGAGCCTGACCACCCTATCCCGTTTGTCAGCTCTGACAACAAGCATGGGTAACTGAAGATCAATTCTAACCCAGATCTTCACAGGTAGCATATCAACTAGATCATTACCAAACTTGGAAAATATCTTAGCACACTTTGGATAAGCATCAGTCAGTGTGAAAGAAAAATAAACGAATCCTGGCTCGAGTCAACAGCCCATGATGCTCTGTGTTAGTATCATCAATAAAACCATAATACCCGTTGTCATAGTGCTCTGCTTGCAAAGTATCAGATATCATCAAACTAAAACTTTTGAAATATGTCCAAACCTTTTTCTTTTCCACTGGACGAAGTTTTATCAGATCTTCATCAGTCACACAGCCCGAGTGTCTCTGACCTGTTTCTGGATGACCTTCACCCCCAGAACCAACCGCCCCACCCCATCACTGAGGCCAGCCTCACTCCCAGTCCCACTCCCCACCCTCACTGCTGTGGTAGCACCATCAACACTGGGACTCTCCGATGTTTCACAGGAAGTGTTCGAGTCTAATGTTTTACCATTCTCCTCCTTACGTCTCTGTTCATTGGCTGCCTTTCTACGATTATACCACGCCTGAACCTTCTTGACATTTCCATTGGCTGTACTAAAATCATACTTCTTCTTCCAAAGAAGCTTCTGTACATCCTTCACAAGGAAGTTAATAGTCAATGGATGTTTCAAGAATTTGTCATGCAGTTCCTTGTTGACGACATTCTTAAAGTCGGAATCGATGTGTTTACTGCCATATCTACACGCTATACTTTGTGAGCATCGCCCATAGTTCTCAAACACGTAGCATTTGTCACCAATGTCAGGAGGCTTATTAGCCATAAACTTGCCTACATCGTGGCAGAATTTGCATGAACTTCCATAAAAACAATCTCGTTCCATGATGATGGAGGGACAGACTTTTTCTGCAGCTGGGGGTCCTCGGTCGACAGGTCGGTTCCGGTTGCGACCGGTTGTCTTCTGCTTCTTTGAGGGTGGTTCAGATTTGTTCTGTTGTACCTTCTGTGATGCCTTCTGGCTTTCTCTAGGCAGAATGTACCTTAAAAGAAGCAACATTTACAGTAATAGTTCCATCAAAGAGTGTGCATCTTCAGTATTGCACAACACAGGCATGAGTGAGTGAGTATAGTTTTACGCCATTTTAGCAATATTCCAGCAATATCACGGTGGGGGACACCAGAAATGGGCGTCACACATTTTACCCATGTGGAGAATCAAACCCGGGTCCTTGGCGTTGCGTTCTATTTTAATTTTATAATTAAAACATGATTATTAAAAAAACATGGCAAATCTGCCTCGCTTAGAAAGGTGCCACACATCACTGTAAACATGATACAGAGTGTGCGAGTGAGTATTTCAGTTACCAGTGTTATATCGCTGCATGGCAGCTTGATCAGTGTAGACCTGACACTGGGGCCGTTCAGTAGCCTAGTGGTTAAAGTGTTTGCTTGTCATGTGAAAGGCCGGGTTCAAATAATTTTCATTCATGTTTAACAGAACGTTTAGACTTTTATCCTATTTGCATTAAAGTATTTCTTCGTTTTTTAATGTTAATAAATATGATTTAAAAAATAGGTATTATCATCATCATCATGACAATGGCTTTATCAAAACTTTGATAGCTATATATCATGTTTACCAGTGTTTACTGTTTCAAAACATTGTCAAAAACACAAAATGTCATAATTAACCATAAATGGAACGAACAAACATGCCATATTGCGGTTTCACAGCTAATTCAAGCTCATTCTGGTATTTACACCACCAGCCTGTGACCTAAGTCACATGTCTGAAACCCAAGTTCAGTCTTGTAAGCTGAGCTATTCACAGTAGAAATGATAAAACTAAAACTCAACTGAAAATTATGCTTTCTCCTTGTTCTGGCTAGTAGACTCAAATATTTTTGGCATGGATAGCACAAAATCACAGATGCCATTGCTGAGTTCTTCATACTGATGATTCTCACTAAAACCATAAAAAATATATAGAAGATTCCTTACTGTGGCTTTATCCAGGCCATATTTGACTTGCGGAAGTTCATCTGTATTTGTTCGTCAGACAGTTGAACATGTGCATCATTAACACTGTCCTCATCTTCCAATGGTCGCTTCATGCTCGTTGCATTAACATTTGTGCTTTCAGGATTACCACTGTCCTCGAGTTTCTCAGTGTTACCAGTGTCTACCAGTTTCTTGGTGTTACCAGTGTCAACCAGTTTCTCAGTGTTACCAGTGTCTACCAGTTTCTCAGTGTTACCAGTGTCTTCCAGTTTCTCAGTGTTACCAGTGTCTACCAGTTTCTCAGTGTTACCAGTGTCTACCAGTTTCTCGGTGTTACCAGAGTCTGCCAGTTTCTTGGTGTTACCAGTGTCAACCAGTTTCTCAGTGTTACCAGTGTCAACCAGTTTCTCAGTGTTACCAGTGTCTTCCAGTTTCTCAGTGTTACCAGTGTCAACCAGTTTCTCAGTGTTACCAGTGTCTTCCAGTTTCTCAGTGTTACCAGTGTCAACCAGTTTCTCAGTGTTACCAGTGTCTTCCAGTTTCTCAGTGTTACCAGTGTCTACCAGTTTCTCGGTGTTACCAGAGTCTGCCAGTTTCTCAGTGTTACCAGAGTCTACCAGTTTCTCGGTGTAACCAGAGTCTGCCAGTTTCTCGGTGTTACCAGTGTCTACCAGTTTCTCGATGTTACCAGTGTCTACCAGTTTCTCAGTTCCAGCTGGGTTACAAGAGTCAATTAAATTCTCCTCTTCCATGCTTACAAGTGTGCAAGATTTCTGAAACAAAAACATGATAAATTCAAGTGATGTTAGAAGCTTTATCTGAACAACTGATCTCGGTAAAGTGGAGTTCTCTTTCAATTACTAATTACTCGAGTGAGTGAGTTAAGTTTCATGCCGCTTTTAGCATAAGAGCAATATTCCTGCAATATAACAGCAGGGGACACCAGAAATGGGCTTCACACACTGTACCCATGTGGAGAATCAAACCCGGGTTTTGACACATGACAAGCGAACACTTTAGCTACTTGGCTACCCGACTGCCACCACCAATTGCTAGAACTACTAAAACATAGGTCACTTCATTGTGACTATCCAAAAACTAAATTTGATGAAATTTCTCAAGCTGATGTTGACAGTGGATGTTGAACATGGAAGCGTGCTGTGTTACTTCCTGATAGAGTCATAGAAGGTACTACATATTACTTGATGCATTCTTCAGCATGAACTTCCACTGCCAGCTTGAAGCTATGGTAGTCATGGTAGTTAATGTAAACTTTACCAGGGTGCTTTCACAAGTAATTAGCATGAATACTGCTCTTCCACTCAGTGACAGAGGGATCATGAACATGATCAAGTGCTGTGTGCACAGACAGTACGTACTGTAGTACCATATTAGTATTATTACCACACACTCTAACTCTAACTGAAGAAAATTCAAAGGGGATTCAAAGACTAAGTACTTAGAACCATGGACCCTACTGAAGTATTATAAAAAAATCGCATTAAGTGTACACACTACATGTCAGAAGCAATTATAAGGATCAAAGAGACAACCAGATCTGTGGCGGAACGAGGGCAAAACCCGAGAACCCATCGAGAGTGATAGGGTTAACACTAATATCAGTCGACGAACATTTGCCTTCGAAAACGAAATCATCAATCATGTGTACATAATTGTGTTCAGTTAGCACACAGACAGTGGCAGCCCTGGCACACAGCATATGCCGCATGTCATGAGTTGAAACTAATGGAAACTGACTCCGTGACAACTTCTAAGCATCGCTAGGGATTATATTATACAATTGTAGACATAACTTACTTCTGTTCACAACCCTCCCCTCGATCGTCTGTGATGAAAGACCGATGAAACTCGGTAACATGCTGTTATCCAAAAGGGTCCTGCTTCCTTGTTACGACAATTGTTTTCTGTCTATTACTTTAGATTTGTATGTTTGCTTTCTTTTGTAGCCAAAATAAAACAGAAATCAGTATTTTAATACACATAATTGTTGTTTAACAATGATGTTAATAGTTATTGTCGTAACGACGTTTTCGCGAGTTCAGCAATAAACTGGTCACACTGTTCGTTCGCGCAGCTCTCCTTTTTAATTCCTTTACGTAGACAGGAGCCCAGTCAATGTCTGACCAAGCTTCAGATCAGCGCGTGTCATATTTGTGCGGTTTCCAGATTGCCGTAAAGAGTAAGTCATCGCTGTGAGGAGCCTTCACTCTGAAAGTATGTTTACGAATAATGATAATTTTCTCATTAAGATAAAACTTACTTATCAAACTTTTCCACTTATTTTTAGTTGCATATATTTTTTCCACCCGTAACCCCCGCTTGAAATGTATTCTATTTATTAGGATTATTTCGAGGTTCTAGGGTTAGGTTTAGGGTTATAATTTTAGGGTAAGGGTAAGTGTTGAGGTTTTTTAATGAAAACCATCTGTTCTTTGAAGGGGTTACGGCCGGATATCTTTCATATATTTTGTCATCAGATTTTACCCCTTCCTATCCACACAGAAAAACTGTGTGTTATAAAACAGTGATCATTCATCCGCCCACAAAACATCACACAAGCTACGCACTCTACCCCTACACACGCCTACATATTAAATTACACATCACAGTTTCTAGAATATGCTGCCAGCTAAAAATGGACGCACAGAAAGAACCTTATCACTGGCATAATTATCATCGTGGGAAAGCTAGCACTAGGAAGCACAGCATTATGTTTCATGGTCAAGGAAGTTAAAAACAACAGGACTTCAAAAAATCAATTTTTGTCAATCTCATGAGTTTTTCAAATTTGCTTGCAAGAGGCACTTAGTTTAGAATCCTAGATAAATCTCTGTGAGTTGTATGTTTACATGTAATTTAGAATTGGTGTATTTCATCTAATAAGGCAGGGGTTCAAATTTTTTTTAAAAAGCCACTTGCCACAGGGCAAGTGACTTTAAGAAAGTAGCTTGTCCTGACTAATTTTCCACTTGCCCTGATTTTATGACATAATTATGATGATGTAATTATGAAAGAAGAAATCAACATGGTATTTGATGTTAATGTTTACTGGACTATTTATTGAAAAGTGATAAATAGCAAAGAAAGAATACTCTACTTTATTATCATTGCGAAATTTAATAGCTACATTTTGAACAGATATGAAATTAAATCAAAGTTTATTTGCAGTTTGAAACCATAAGTGGAAATTATCTAGCAGCCCACGGACAAGTAAGATACCATTATTTGATTGCCCGAAATGAAAACTGACTTGTCCCGGGGTGTTGGGCGATGGGATTTTTGAACCCCTGTAAGGGATGGGTCATCATTTGTTTGTTTAATACCGCACTCGGCAATATTCCAGCTAAATGACAATGGTCTGTAAAAAATTAAGTCTAGGCCAAATGAGCCAGTGAACAACAGTATGAGCATCAATCTTTGCAATCGATGACATGACATGTCAACCAAGTCAGCGAGTCTGACTACCCGATCCCGTTTGTCGCCTAGCTCTTAAGACACTCATGGGTTACTGAAGACCAAATCCTAACACGGGTCTTCACATCATTGTCTCTATTTACAACTAAATGTTGGCAACTAAAAGTTGACACTGTTCTTTCAAATTGTATTTAAAATTAAATTGATTAATTATACTTAAACTATAATTAGAACATTATTGAGGAATTTCTTTATGCATGAGCCATGATTACATTTTTGTATACAGTCATAAGACAAGTCCAACTGCCCAAAGTAAGAGGGGACATAGAGCTTTACTCTGTGCATCTTGGGGACATTCAAATGAGGAGAGTATTGACAGTGAGAGTCACAGACAGGGCTGAAAATCTAACAGACATATAACAGCCTTATAACATGAATGTTTGTTCAGTTGACAAAATGAACGCAATTATTCGTTGTTACTAACATCCTGGTACCCGATAATCATCTTAATGTTTTTGTGCAGATGATCATGCTATTTCACGCAGGAAGTAAGCAACAAGGAAGTATTGTTCACCCCACCGTGCAGCCTGAATATAGGGTACAGCGCAAAAGAGTTATAATTAGTCAGTGTAGGGCAGAGCAACTGGAAGCTAGTCCACTGCTGAAACAGTAAAGCTGTCACAGTTTCTGTTGACATAGCATTAGGTATTGCTTGGAAACTGATATATGTCTCTGTAATTAGTGTTGGTGATTTGCTGTCATCTAAATATACACCACTTGATGTTGCAGATGTACAGGGTTTGGGGATTGCAGTGTCATTGTGTTGCTACGTGGAAACACAGTGTGATGATGAATCATTGATACGGTGAGACAATCTGCATGTTGTACATACCTGTTTATTACTCAAGCATCTGATATTCTCTTGTACAGTCTGTTTTATATTGGTTTGTCTTGCAAAACTGTGCTTGTGTTTTAATAGTGTGTCCATGAATGGCTGAATAGTTTATGCCAAAGGAGTATTGTACCTTGGCAGAATGTAGGTAATCTAATCTTGGCCAGGTATACAAGCTGCACGAGTGACTTGGGTATGATGATGTGAAAGAGTCCATTTCTTGGTGGTGGTGGGTGGGGGAGAGACTTAAAAATTAGTTCTTTGGGCTATTTTTCTTGAGGGTAATTATTCCTATAAAAGAGTTTTTACTTTGTCACCAATATTTGTCCCAAAGTGACTAGTTCCATGAAACTCCTTTTTGTTGACAATGGCACATCATTGGTCTCATTAATCAACTTTTACAAAACGTGGGGTACCCCTGGTCCTGATTTTTATCCCAGAGCCTCACAAAACAATCTTAGCTTCAGATGATCCCAACTCACATTCTTTACCACTGACTTATCACTAAGATTGCTCTATGGTCAGGACCCTGGCTAGCCTGTCTCACAGTCCTTGAACCACGTTATTTTCCCTACTGCTTAGCCTTCCTTGCAATGCTAAATGAATCAAGTCTAGATTTCCTCAGGTTCAGGTTCTGAATCTCTGGTCTCCCTGGGGCTCCTTTTCAATTTAAATGGGTTTATTTGTCACTATCAAAATTATATATATTCAGAGACGAAGCGTTAATCTTGACCCTGGCATTCTTTCTCTCCTGTTTCACAGCTGCCAGACAACTACTCTCCTCCACCCTCTCTCGTCATGGCAGCCATGTTATCTCTGTTTGTACTGGTTCTGTGTGGGTCCGTCTCCATTGCTCACAGCTTCCTCCTTGGTGGACCAACTACGTCAGTGGATCCAGGACAACCTCTCTACCTGTCTCCGTACATCGCTGGAGGACACATTCAACAAGGTACTCTACAGTGCTCTGGCACAAATTGGTCACAACTGTTTGTGGGGGAGGGGAATATGGAGGGGAGTCCATGCAAAAATTTCTCTGTTTCAGTTTTTCAACAAAAACAAATATCAGAAATATGAACATTATTTCGGGACAGGACATTCAGTTGGGATGGCATGGTGCTGATAAGTCAGCAAAATATAACAGTCTGAGACCAACTGCCAACTCAAGTCGCCTACTTGAATTTTTTATTTCGTTCCTACTCATAATAATAGGACACAGAAAGTCACCATGTATATTTTAAGGATTGAAGAAACAGTGAAACTGTTGATGTTAGTTCATGCTGATGTGGTCGAACTAAACTGTATGTATTGTCACATATGTTATGTGTGGGATGACACTTTCTTAGTAAAGTACCGATTCTATTACTTTTCTTGGGTTCAATCCCATCCGGGATTCGAACCCACACCCACAGAGTGACCTTCACTACCTCCTCACCTCACCACACCTCACCTTCACTACCTCCTCACCTCACCACACCTCTTCACACTTCACCTTCACTACCTCCTAACCTCACCTCACCTTCACTACCTCCTCAGCTCACCTCACCTTCACTACTTCCTCACCTCACCACACTTCACCTTCACTACCTCACTCTCCTCACCTCTCCCTACCTCACCTTCACTTCCTCACCACACCTCACCTCCACCACCTCCCTCCACCTCCCTCACCCTCCTCACCACACTTCACCTTCACTCACTCCTCACCTCACCTTCACTACCTCCTCCCTTCCCACCTTCACTACTTCCTCACCTCACCTTCACTACCTCCTCAACTTACCCACACTTCATCTTCACTCACCTCCTCACCTCCTCACCTTCACTCACCTCCTCACCCTCACCACACTTCACCTTCACTACGCTCTACCTCCACTACCTCCTCACCTCACCACACTTCACCCTCACTCACCTCACTCACCTCACCACCACCTTCCCTCACTACCTCACTCCTCTTCACCTCACTCACTACCTCACCTTCACCTTCACTACCTCCTCACCTCACCACACTTCCACCTTCACTCCACACTCACCTCACCACGCCCCTCACCTTCACTACACCCTCACCTTCACTCTCACTACCTCACCTCACCACACTTCACCCTTCACTCACCTTCTCACCTTCACTACCTCCTCACCACACTTCACCTCTCCTTCACTCACCTAATCACCTTCACTCCCCTCACCCTCACCTCCCTCACTCTCACCACCACACCCTCACCTTCACTACCTCCTCACCTCACCACACTTCACCTTCACTACCTCACCACCTCACACCACACTTCACCTTCACTATCCTCACAACCTCACCACACTTCAACCTTCACTACCTCCTCACCTTACCACACTTCAACCTTCACTACCTCTTCACCTCACCTTCACAACCAAAGTTCTTTTTTGTTCAAATTAGAGTGAGTGAGTATGGTTTTACACTGCTTTTAGCAATATTCTAGCAATACCACAGCGGGAGACACCAGAAATAGGCTTCACACATTGTACCCAGACGAGCAGACGCTTTAACCATTAGGCTACCCCACAGCCCCTGGTACAAATTCATGCAGTTATATTCAATGTTTTCACTAACTATTGTTACAGCCCAGAATTTGAGTCGTGTAGGCTCCCTTCAAGGCTCATCGATACTGAGTTACAGTGGCTACATCACCGTCAACGCAAACTTCAACAGCAACCTGTTCTTCTGGTTCATACCTGCACAGGTAAACAGCACCTTTCAACTACACATGCACAAATCAATGTTTTTTTGAGAGTGATCAATGTTTTCTACCTAAGGGAGAAACACTTCTGTTAATCCATTAAGCTAGTTCAGTCTGGATTCTCATAGCACTTGGTATGCTGGTACAGTATCCATGGTAGCGTAGTTGAAACAAGGGGAGAAAACTCCTCCATTAAGTCACTTCAAAGTAGTGTAGGGTGTCATGATTACATATGTAACAGGAACTTAGTTCTTGTCAAAGAATTGGTTCAGTGAATATTTTTGTTCTTTCCTTGGGACACAATGTACATATTTCTGCATCCATTATATACATTTGTGAGTACTGGTGCAAACACCTAGTTGCGGGTACAGCAACGTGCAATAAACTTAGACAAAGTACAACTGTGACTATGTGTCCCAGTCCACCCAGCTGTGTATGGGTAAACACCTAAGGGATGGGAAAGCCACACTTACTGTGTCCCAGTCGAACCAGCTGTGTATGGGTAATCTAGTGGCTACAAGAGTTGTATGCTCCCCAGGGAGTTGAGATTGATAATACGACGTGCCGTTGAGATTGACATCCAGCGTGCGTGCGTGTGGTAATATCAAAGCCAGGGATTTATCAAGGGCTCCAAACAAAGTGCCCATGGAAGACAAGCAGGGGGAATTAAGCAACATTTCTTTGCTGTAAATGGGGATTTTAATTTATTCTTAAATTGAGAGACGTTTTACCAATGTATTAATGAAATAAGTATATCTTCTTCCTCTTTGTCATATCTATTGGCCTCGTTGTCAAGGAAGTACAAGTCTTTACAAGGCCAATACATTAGCAATGGCTGTATCAATAAGGAAAGATTTTGATTCCAGTATGACTTAAGCTTCACACTTGAGAACTAATATCCACTTCTGGGTAAGGATAGGTAAATCCCTTAATCCAGATATTTGTGGAAAACCTGTTTTCATTTTCCTGCAAAATTGTTGATACAGTATGACCTACACAAAGATAAACATTTTGGTAACTTATTCTGCCCAATTTGAGTTTGCTATTAGAATTTTCAGAATATTGTATTTGTTACATGGAGGATCTAGAGAATGTCCTAGAGCTACAAAGAGAATGAATGGTGTGGACCCAAGACTTTGAGGTACTTACAGATGAACTAGTAAAAGGGGGCTAGTATTATAGTATTATATAATATATATGGGCCGCTATGTCATTTTAAAGGAGAAAATGAATAAAAGTGTATAACAAGTCAACCCTTTAAAAAAGTTCATCTTTTAAATGAAGACTAATATTTTCAGTTTATGATATCAAGAACAGTAGTATCTCAGTAGCAGTATCTCACCAGCAAAAGTCTGCACTACTGACCAGCACACACACATACATGATTTTTATGAAATAATTTGAACATGGCATTAAACCTTTTTCATCCTCACCCTTTGTGACCTCCAACACACTCCCTCCATTAGATTCCTGGTCCTAGATTTTCAAAGATCTCATAATGCTAAGATAGTCGTAAGTTAATGTAAATGTATGGCACGTACAACTATCTTAGCGCTAGGAGAGCCTCGAAAGTCTAGGCCCTTGGTTTCTATTACATCGGCCTTGTGTTTATTAGAGACCCAGTGACAACTTACTATAAAACCAAATCCCCCTAAACTGTGTACCCTTAACATACTGTTTCCAAATATTAATGAAGCCCCAGCGATAATACCAGGTGGTCAGAACAGGTGGCGATACCAGAGTGAGTGAGATGGGTTTTATGCAACTTTTAGCAATATTCCAGCAAAATCATGGCGGGGGACACCAGAAATGGATTTCACTTATTGTACCCATGTGGGGATTCAAACCTGGGCCTTCGGCGTGCTGATCGAACACTTTAACCACTAAGCTTCCACAGTGATACCAGAAGCAAAGAGGAGTAATCCTTACTCGGTGTAAGTCAGAATGATAGGGATTATTAATTTTGTCAAAGTATGGATCAGGAACCTATGGGAAAAGCGATCTTATCACTATGGCAGTCGTAAGTCTGTGTTACAGGCTAGGAGTTACGATTGTCCTTGTGCTAAATCACTTGCAAGCAGGCCCAGGTATATAGTTGAGGCCCGACTTGTACTTTGTGAACAGGGCATAACGTGAATTAGAGGCCGGCATGTATTGGATCATCATGTCTGGTATTTATTGAGGAAAAACAGTACAGGCGATAACGTACCAGTGAATTAACTACAATGTGTTGTCAAGAAGATTATCTTAAAGGAAGAAACTTATCGATTATGTCAGTTCTGTTAGAAGGATGTTCATTAAAAGGAAGTCTTTCATGATTGTCGTGTTAAATATGATTGAGTAAGTGTTATTGATCTGACCCTCACTGCTGACTATTGCTGTACGGTGAGTTACAGGTGTCATTCGAAGGGTGGACATGATGTTATTAGCTGCAACACTATAAATATATATAGTTTGAGGGGAGGAAGGAGTCTTTCAGAAAGTAAAATATATGCTCCCAAACACTGACATGTGCATCAAATTTATGTAAATTCAGGGGATACTAAGAATGGTGTCATGTGGTACTAAGTTTCTTTGTCTGTTGTTGGCTGTATTCAGCAATTTCCAGCTGTATGACGGTGGTCTGTATATAACCAAGACTGTACCAGACAAACAAGATCTACATGATTGAGATTCAATGACAAGTCAGCAAGCCTGCCCACCCAATTCTGTTAGTCGTTTTGTACAATAGTGGGTTCCTGAAGACCAATTCTAGCCCAGATCTTCTCAGATCAGTGTGACATTAGGATCTGTATCATGCCTACTATCAGACTCACAATATTTAGCAAAATAGAAACAGGTTAAATTCATATATTGTGAGGAAATGACTTTACATCAAACATTATGGCATCGTAATGTTTTTTCAGACCATCTCACATTGTGTGTATAGGACAAAATAGGTATCAGAATTTGTGTTAGATTTAAAACCTCATTAGGCCAGACCAATTTTATTTCTTGTTATACGGAACCGACAGTCGTATTTCTTCAAGAGTAAGAAAAAATAAATAAATAAATTTTCCCCACTCAAAAAATAAAATTTTAATGTTTTTATTGTCCAAAAATGTAAACTTGCAAGAATTTTTTTAAGATTGTTTTTTGCCCCATATGCACTTCATAAATTGCCAAAAGTGAAATTCTTTTTTAGTATTTATAAGGAATATTTGACTGGTGATTTCTATTTGAATTTTTTCTCCTCCTGCCTTAAGGTTTTCTGAGGACAAAAATCCGTAAAACAAGAAATAAAATTGGTCTGGCCTCAGGGAAATAAAACCAATTGCAAGTGTAAACTATCTCTTACTGAAGCACATCTACTTGAATAAGCATTGTGGTTTATATGCACCTGTTAGACCTTGCGGTTCACCTATGAGGTTCACTCAAAGATGCCATGATTTGTCAGTTCAATCCTAGAATATTAATATTAAAAAGACATTTGCCATTCGATTTCTATATCATCCTGTACATTTCCTTTTGTAGATTGCATTCAAATTCAAAATATATCTCATTTGAGGGAAATTCTATGAGAAATCCCTGGCATAGAAGGACTTCTGTAGAATATCTCAGGATATTCTGGTGAAAGTCCCTGCTTATGGGTTATGCTACAAAATGAAGTCATCATATCATTAATAGGATGATGTCAATAGCAGTAAACAGGTTCAACAAGATAATGGTCAGCCACCCAGATTTATGTGTAATGATAAGGTTTGATCGATTCCATTGTAGCATGCTGACCCCCATACAGCTCTTCTGATACTGTGGCTTGATACAGAAAGGTAGATTTATGTGTAATGATAAGGTTTGATCGATTCCATTGCAGCATGCTGACCCCCATACAGCTCCTCTGATAGTGTGGCTTGATACAGAAAGGTAGATTTATGTATAATGATAAGGTTTGGTCGATTCCATTGTAGCATGCTGACCCCCATACAGCTCCTCTGATAGTGTGGCTTGATACAGAAAGGTAGATTTATGTATAATGATAAGGTTTGGTCGATTCCATTGTAGCATGCTGACCCCCATACAGCTCCTCTGATACTGTGGCTTGATACAGGAAGGTAGATTTATGTATAATGATAAGGTTTGGTCGATTCCATTGTAGCATGCTGACCCCCATACAGCTCCTCTGATACCATGGCTTGATACAGGAAGGTAGATTTATGTATAATGATAAGGTTTGGTCGATTCCATTGTAGCATGCTGACCCCCATACAGCTCCTCTGATAGTGTGGCTTGATACAGAGAGGTAGATTTATGTATAATGATAAGGTTTGGTCGATTCCATTGTAGCATGCTGACCCCCATGCAGCTCCTCTGATACTGTGGCTTGATACAGGATGGTAGATTTATGTATAATGATAAGGTTTGGTCGATTCCATTGTAGCATGCTGACCCCCATACAGCTCCTCTGATACTGTGGCCTGATACAGGAAGGTAGATTTATGTATAATGATAAGGTTTGGTCAATTCCATTGTAGCATGCTGACCCCCATACAGCTCCTCTGATACTGTGGCTTGATACAGGAAGGTAGATTTATGTATAATGATAAGGTTTGGTCGATTCCATTGTAGCATGCTGACCCCCATACAGCTCCTCTGATACTGTGGCTTGATACAGGAAGGTAGATTTATGTATAATGATAAGGTTTGGTCGATTCCATTGTAGCATGCTGACCCCCATGTAGCTCCTCTGATACTGTGGCTTGATACAGGAAGGTAGATTTATGTATAATGATAAGGTTTGGTCGATTCCATTGTAGCATGCTGACCCCCATACAGCTCCTCTGATACCATGGCTTGATACAGGAAGGTAGATTTATGTATAATGATAAGGTTTGGTCGATTCCATTGTAGCATGCTGACCCCCATACAGCTCCTCTGATACTGTGGCTTGACGGTGGTCCAGGGACCAGCGGTTTGTTTGGACTGTTTGTACAGAACGGACCGTTTGTTGTGGACAAAGACTTGAAATGTAAGTTTCCACTCAAAATTAATATTTCAAAACTTGGAGGATGATATGGAAAATGATTAGCATTGTTTAACCAATAAAAGGTAGCTTTCATAAACAGGTGGCATGTGAATACCATTTAAAATGTCGGAGCTTGAAGTCTGTTATTTTACTCCCATGATGATAGACTTTGAATATTTTCATAATTATTATAATTCCTTAAAGGACTGTTTGCTTAATAAAGGGGGTTATTTGTTATAGGATTTGGTCATATTTCGCTTACATAACCACAAACCCCTACTCACCGGCCACATTCATTTTGTGTGAAACGTTATCGTGACCCCTCTCAAATACATGTTCATCCATGTTTTGTTTGTTACCAAAACTGAAAAAGAGACATTTAGTTTTAATGAATTCTTCTAGTTTTGGATTGCCAAAATACATCTGAATTGGATAAAATCAGGATGTTTTGTTAAAATGACTCTTTTGCCGTCACAGGCACTAAAATAAACATCTGAAATAAATCCTTAAAATTCTGTTTGATTTTCCAGTGTCACCACGGAAGACTGACTGGTCACTCAAGCATTCTTTGTTATTTATTGACAACCCTGTAAGTACCAAGGTGTTAGTAACAATAATTAATGAGATTTCTTGACAACCCTGTAAGTACTAAGGAGTTTGTAACAATAATTGATGGGATTTCTTGACAACCTTGTAAGTACTGAGGTGTTTGTAATCTGACTGTCAAAAAAACAAAATACAAATAGTTTCAATCTATTTATAGATTGTCCTCAATATTCTTTTGTGATTCAGGTGGTGTAAACATCTGTAGATAGAGGATTGACATGAATTGAAATCACTGATTTTACATTGACAACTCGATTAACACTAACAATCACCTCCACTTCCATGGTTTTGTATATGTTAGATCTTGATCAGTAAATATGTATAATGAATCAGTGTAGATCTCAGTAAATATGTATAATGAATCAGTGTAGATCTCAGTAGATATGTATAATGAATCAGTGTAGATCTCTGTAAATATGTATAATGAATCAGTGTAGATCTCTGTAAATATGTATAATGAATCAGGGTAGATCTCAGTAAATATGTATAATGAATCAGATGTAAATATCAATAAGATCTCTGTAAATATGTATAATGAATCAGTGTAGATCTCTGTAAATATGTATAATGAATCAGTGTAGATCTCAGTAAATATGTATAATGAATCAGTGTAGATCTCAGTAAATATGTATAATGAATCAGTGTAGATCTCTGTAAATATGTATAATGAATCAGTGTAGATCTCAGTAAATATGTATAATGAATCAGTGTAGATCTCAGTAAATATGTATAATGAATCAGTGTAGATCTCAGTAAATATGTATAATGAATCAGTGTAGATCTCTAAAAATATGTATAATGAACTCAGTGTAGATCTCTGTAAATATGTATAATGAATCAGTGTAGATCTCTGTAAATATGTATAATGAATCAGTAGATCTCTGTAAATATGTATAATGAATCAGTGTAGATCTCAGTAAATATGTATAATGAATCAGTGTAGATCTCTGTAAATATGTATAATGAATCAGTGTAGATCTCAGTAAATATGTATAATGAATCAGTGTAGATCTCAGTAAATATGTATAATGAATCAGTGTAGATCTCTGTAAATATGTATAATGAATCAGTGTAGATCTCTGTAAATATGTATATAATGAATCAGTGTAGATCTCTGTAAATATGTATAATGAATCAGTGTAGATCTCAGTAAATATGTATAATGAATCAGTGTAGATCTCAGTAAATATGTATAATGAATCAGTGTAGATCTCAGTAAATATGTATAATGAATCAGTGTAGATCTCAGTAAATATGTATAATGAATCAGTGTAGATCTCAGTAAATATGTACAATGAATCTGTAGTATCAGTGTAGATTTCAGTAAATATGCATAATGAATCAGTGTAGATTTCAGTAAATAATGTATAATGAATCAGTGTAGAATCAGTGTAGATCTCAGTAAATATGTATAATGAATCAGTGTAGATCTCAGTAAATATGTATAATGAATCAGTGTAGAAGATTATCTTAAAGGGAAGAACCTTACTCGATTATGTCAGTTCTGTTAGAAGGATGTTCATTAAAAAGGAAGTCTTTCTATGATTGTCGTGTAAAATATGATTGAGTAAAGTGTTATTGATTCTGACCCTCACTGCTTTGACTATTGCTGTCAATGGGTGAGTTACAGGTGTCATTCGCAGGGTGGACATGATGTTATTAAGCTGCAACACTTTATAAATATATATGGTTTGAGGGGAGGAAGGAGTCTTTCAGAAAGTAAAAATATGTGCTCCCAAACACTGACATGTGCATCAAATTTTATGTAAATTCAGGGGATACTAAGAATGGTGTCATGTGGTACTAAGTTTCTTTGTCTGTTGTTGGCTGTATTCGGCAATTTCCAGCTGTATGGCAGTGAGCTGGAGTATATAGCAAGACTGGTAATTCAGACAAACAAGATCTACATGATTGAGATTCAATGACAAGTCAGCAAGCCTGCCCACCCAATTCTGTTAGTGGCTTTTATACAATAGTGGGTTCCTGAAGACCAATTCTATTCCAGATCTTCTTCATCAGATCAGTGTGACATTAGGGATCTGTATCATTTTGTCGTACTGTCAGACTCACAATATTTAGCAAAATATAGAAACAGGTTAGAATTCATATATTGTGAGGGTAATGACTTTACATCAAACATTATGACATCTTAATGTTTTTTCAGACCATCGCACATTGTGTGTATAGGACAAAATAGGTATCTGAATTTGTGTTAGATTTAAAACCCTCATTAGGCCAGACCACCTTTATTTCTTGTTAATGAACCGACAGTCATATTTCTTGAAGAGTAAAGAAAAAAATAAATAAATAATCTTTTCCCACTCAAAAAATAAAATTTTAATGTTTTTATTGTCCAAAAAATGTAAACTTGCAAGAATATTTTTTAGATTGTTTTTGCCCCATAAGCACTTCAATAATTGTCAAAAGTGAAATTCTTTTTTTAGCATTTAAAAGGAATATTTGACTGGTGATTTTATTTCAATTTTTTCTCCCCACTTTTTAGGTTTCTCTGAGGACAAAAATCAAACGTAAAACAAGAAAATAAAATTGAGTCTTGCCTCAGGGAAATAAAACCAATTGCAAGTGTAAACTATCTCATACTGAAGCACCATCTACTTGAATAAGCGTTGTGGTTTATAAGCACCTGTTAGACCTTGCGGTACACCTATGAGGTTCACTCAAAGATGCCATGATTTGTCAGTTCAATCCAAGAATATTAATATCAAAAAGACATTTGCCATTCGATTTCTATATCATCCTGTACATTTCCTTATGTAGATTGCATTCAAATTCAAAATATATCTCATTTGAGGGAAATTCTATGAGAAATCCCTGGCATAGAAGGACTTCTGTAGAATACGTCAGGATATTCTGGTGAAAATCCCTGCTTACATTAATAGGATGATGTCAATAGCGGAACAGGTTCAACAAGATAATGGTCAGCCACCCAGAAAGGTAGATTTATGTATGATGATAAGGTTTGGTCGATTCCATTGCAGCAAGCTGACCCCCATACAGCTCCTCTGATACTGTGGACTTGATACAGAAAGGTAGATTTGGTTATGTATAATGATAAGGTTTGGTCGATTCCATTGTAGCATGCTGACCCCCGTACAGCTCCTCTGATACTCTGGCTTGATACAGAAAGGTAGTTTTATGTATAATGATAAGGTTTGGTCGATTCCATTGCAGCAAGCTGACCCCCATACAGTTCCTCTAATACTGTGGCTTGATACAGAAAGGTAGATTTGGTTATGTATAATGATAAGGTTTGGTCGATTCCATTGTGGGGCGGTGGGGTAGCCTAGTGGTTAAACCGTTGGATCGTCACGCCAAAGACCCGGGTTCGATTCCCCACATGGGCACAATGTGTTAAGCCCATTTCTGGTGTCCCCCGCCGTGATATTGCTGGAATATTGCTAAAAGCGGCGTAAAACTAAACTCAGGCAGTCAGTCAATCGATTCCATTGTAGCATGCTGACCCCCATACAGCTCCTCTGATACTCTGGCTTGATACAGGAAGGTAGATTTGGTTATGTATAATGATTAGGTTTGGTCGATTCCATCGCAGCAAGCTGACCCCCATACAGCTCCTCTGATACTGTGGCTTGATACAGACAGGTAGATTTATGTATAATGATTAGGTTTGGTCGATTCCATTGTAGCATGCTGACCCCCATACAGCTCCTCTGATACTGTGGCTTGATACAGAAAGGTAGATTTGGTTATGTATAATGATAAGGTTTGGTTGATTCCATTGTAGCATGCTGACCCCCATACAGCTCCTCTGATACTGTGGCTTGATACAGAAAGGTAGATTTGGTTATGTATAATGATTAGGTTTGGTTGATTCCATTGTAGCATGCTGACCCCCATACAGCTCCTCTGATACTCTGGCTTGATACAGACAGGGAGATTTGGTTATGTATAATGATAAGGTTTGGTTGATTCCATTGTAGCATGCTGACCCCCATACAGCTCCTCTGATACTGTGGCTTGATACAGACAGGTAGATTTGGTTATGTATAATGATTAGGTTTGGTCGATTCCATTGTAGCAAGCTGACCCCCATACAGCTCCTCTGATACTGTGGCTTGATACAGAAAGGTAGATTTGGTTATGTATAATGATTAGGTTTGGTCGATTCCATTGTAGCATGCTGACCCCATACAGCTCCTCTGATACTGTGGCTTGATACAGACAGGTAGGTAGATTTGGTTATGTATAATGATTAGGTTTGAATCCACATTCCATTGTAGCATGCTGACCCCCATACAGCTCCTCTGATGATTACTCTGGCTTGATACAGAAAGGTAGATTTGGTTATGTATAATGATTAGGTTTGGTTGATTCCATTGTAGCATGCTGACCCCATACAGCCCCTCTGATACTCTGGCTTGATACAGAAAGGTAGATTTTATGTATAATGATTAGGTTTGGTTGATTCCATTGTAGCATGCTGACCCCATACAGCTCCTCTGATACTGTGGCTTGATACAGACAGGTAGATTTGGTTATGTATAATGATAAGGTTTGGTCGATTCCATTGTAGCATGCTGATCCCCATACAGCTCCTCTGATACTCTGGCTTGATAGAGAAAGGTAGATTTGGTTATGTATAATGATTAGGTTTGGTTGATTCCATTGTAGCATGCTGACCCCCATACAGCTCCTCTGATACTGTGGCTTGATACAGAAAGGTAGATTTATGTATAATGATAAGGTTTGGTCGATTCCATTGTAGCAAGCTGACCCCCATACAGCTCCTCTGATACTGTGGCTTGATACAGAAAGGTAGATTTGGTTATGTATAATGATTAGGTTTGGTCGATTCCATTGTAGCATGCTGACCCCATACAGCTCCTCTGATACTGTGGCTTGATACAGAAAGATAGATTTGGTTATGTATAATGATTAGGTTTGGTCGATTCCATTGTAGCATGCTGACCCCCATACAGCTCCTCTGATACTGTGAAGCTTGATACAGAAAGGTAGATTTGGTTATGTATAATGATTAGGTTTGGTTGATTCCATTGTAGCATGCTGACCCCCATACAGCTCCTCTGATACTCTGGCTTGATACAGAAAGGTAGATTTGGTTATGTATAATGATAAGGTTTGGTCGATTCCATTGTAGCATGCTGACCCCCATACAGCTCCTCTGATACTGTGGCTTGATACAGAAAGGTAGATTTGGTTATAGATAATGATAAGGTTTGGTCGATTCCATTGTAGCATGCTGACCCCCATACAGCTCCTCTGATACTGTGGCTTGATACAGAAAGTTAGATTTGGTTATGTATAATGATTAGGTTTGGTTGATTCCATTGTAGCATGCTGACCCCCATACAGCTCCTCTGATACTGTGACTTGATACAGAAAGTTAGATTTGGTTATGTATAATGATTAGGTTTGGTTGATTCCATTGTAGCATGCTGACCCCCATACAGCTCCTCTGATACTGTGACTTGATACAGAAAGGTAGATTTGGTTATGTATAATGATTAGGTTTGGTCGATTCCATTGTAGCATGCTGACCCCCATACAGCTCCTCTGATACTGTGGCTTGATACAGAAAGGTAGATTTGGTTATGTATAATGATTAGGTTTGAATTCGATTCCATTGTAGCAAGCTGACCCCCATACAGCTCCTCTGATACTGTGGCTTGATACAGAAAGGTAGATTTGGTTATGTATAATGATTAGGTTTGGTCGATTCCATTGTAGCATGCTGACCCCATACAGCTCCTCTGATACTCTGGCTTGATACAGAAAGGTAGATTTGGTTATGTATAATGATAAGGTTTGGTTGATTCCATTGTAGCATGCTGACCCCCATACAGCTCCTCTGATACTCTGGGCTTGATACAGAAAGGTAGATTTGGTTATGTATAATGATAAGGTTTGAATTCGATTCCATTGTAGCAAGCTGACCCCCATACAGCTCCTCTGATACTATGGCTTGATACAGAAAGGTAGATTTGGTTATGTATAATGATTAGGTTTGGTTGATTCCATTGTAGCATGCTGATCCCCATACAGCTCCTCTGATACTGTGGCTTGATACAGAAAGGTAGATTTGGTTATGTATATAATGATTAGGTTTGGTCGATTCCATTGTAGCATGCTGACCCCATACAGCTCCTCTGATACTGTGGCTTGATACAGAAAGGTAGATTTGGTTATGTATAATGATTAGGTTTGGTCGATTCCATTGTAGCATGCTGACCCCCATACAGCTCCTCTGATACTGTGGCTTGATACAGAAAGGTAGATTTGGTTATGTATAATGATTAGGTTTGGTCGATTCCATTGTAGCATGCTGACCCCCATACAGCTCCTCTGATACTCTGGCTTGATACAGAAAGGTAGATTTGGTTATGTATAATGATAAGGTTTGGTCGATTCCATTGTAGCATGCTGACCCCCATACAGCTCCTCTGATACTGTGGCTTGATACAGAAAGATAGATTTGGTTATGTATAATGATTAGGTTTGGTCGATTCCATTGTAGCATGCTGACCCCCATACAGCTCCTCTGATACTGTGGCTTGATACAGAAAGGTAGATTTGGTTATGTATAATGATTAGGTTTGGTTGATTCCATTGTAGCATGCTGACCCCCATACAGCTCCTCTGATACTCTGGGCTTGATACAGAAAGGTAGATTTGGTTATGTATAATGATAAAGGTTTGGTCGATTCCATTGTAGCATGCTGACCCCCCATACAGCTCCTCTGATACTGTGGCTTGATACAGAAAGGTAGATTTGGTTATAGATAATGATAAGGTTTGGTCGATTCCATTGTAGGCATGCTGACCCCATACAGCTCCTCTGATACTGTGGCTTGATACAGAAAGTTAGATTTGGTTATGTATAATGATTAGGTTTGGTTGATTCCATTGTAGCATGCTGACCCCATACAGCTCCTCTGATACTGTGACTTGATACAGAAAGGTAGATTTGGTTATGTATAATGATTAGGTTTGGTTGATTCCATTGTAGCATGCTGATCCCCATACAGCTCCTCTGATACTGTGGCTTGATACAGAAAGGTAGATTTGGTTATGTATAATGATTAGGTTTTGGTCGATTCCATTGTAGCATGCTGACCCCATACAGCTCCTCTGATACTGTGGCTTGATACAGAAAGGTAGATTTGGTTATGTATAATGATTAGGTTTGAGTCGATTCCATTGCTAGCAAGCTGACCCCCGCACAGCCTCTGATACTGTGGCTTGATACAGAAAGGTAGATTTGGTTATGTATAATGATTAGGTTTGGTCGATTCCATTGTAGCATGCTGACCCCATACAGCTCCTCTGATACTCTGGCTTGATACAGAAAGGTAGATTTGGTTATGTATAATGATAAGGTTTGGTTGATTCCATTGTAGCATGCTGACCCCCATACAGCCCTCTGATACTCTGGCTTTGATACAGAAAGGTAGATTTGGTTATGTATAATGATAAGGTTTGGTCGATTCCATTGTAGCAAGCTGACCCCATACAGCTCCTCTGATACTGTGGCTTGATACAGAAAGGTAGATTTGGTTATGTATAATGATTAGGTTTGGTTGATTCCATTGTAGCATGCTGATCCCCATACAGCCTCTGATACTGTGGCTTGATACAGAAAGGTAGATTTGGTTATGTATAATGATTTCAGGTTTTTGGTCGATTCCATTGTAGCATGCTGACCCCCATACAGCTCCTCTGATACTGTGGCTTGGATACAGAAAGGTAGATTTGGTTATGTATAATGATTAGGTTTGGTCGATTCCATTGTAGCATGCTGACCCCCATACAGCTCCTCTGATACTGTGGCTTGATACAGAAAGGTAGATTTGGTTATGTATAATGATTAGGTTTGGTCGATTCCATTGTAGCATGCTGACCCCATACACAGCTCCTCTGATACTCTACTGGCTTGATACAGAAAGGTAGATTTGGTTATGTATAATGATAAGGTTTGGTTGATTCCATTGTAGCATGCTGACCCCATACAGCTCCTCTGGATACTGTGGCTTGATACAGAAAGGTAGATTTGGTTATGTATAATGATAAGGTTTGGTCGATTCCATTGTAGCAAGCTGACCCCCATACAGCTCCTCTGATACTGTGGCTTGATACAGAAAGGTAGATTTGGTTATGTATAATGATTAGGTTTGGTTGATTCCATTGTAGCATGCTGACCCCATACAGCTCCTC